CGGGCAGGGGCGTCGGAGGGCCCCCAGGTGCGGGGGGCGCCGGGCTCTGCGGGTCCCGGACCCTGGGGCCGGCTGCCCGGACCCTGACCCCGGGGCCGTCCGAGCAGATGCTAAGAGGGCGCTGGAAAGTCTGGGGTCGCTTTGAGGGGAGGACGCGAGTTGGGAGGGAGGGGAGCCCGAGTTTGGGGGCAGCCAGAGGTGGGGGCGTCAGGGATGGGGACGGCTTTTGTTCTCCCTGGGAGGTTGGAATGTGGCGGGTGGGGTGGGGGTGTCCGGCGGGAGCGTCCGGGCCAGAGACTTGGAGAGACAAAGAGAGATCAGAGACTGCGAGAGCGCGAGCGAGCGCGCCGAGCAAGTTTCCGTGGCTGATTGTTCCCAGCTGTGCGGCTGCAACATCTGGTTTCCTCCAGGCGGACCCCAGGCCGGCCTCTTGAGCAGGCAGAGCCTAGAGAGCAGTGCGCGTGGGCGCAGGGGCTCCGAGTAGGCCCCAGGAAGGCAGAGGGGAGGGGAGTCTGCAGCTGTGGAAAGGGCCAGAGTGGGGGGGCCGCCTCCTAGGCAGGTCCCGGCCTCCCCCACACCCAAAAAATCCAGTCTAGTAGTGCTCGGAGATGTGGTCCCCTGGGAGGGATCCATTACTCCCACCTGGACTCTTCTCTTGACGGCCCCACCTCGTGCCCCGGGGGCCCCTTTCCCCAATAAGCTTGGGCCTGGGTGCCAGATCTTCTGGGAGAGGAAAAGACTCCATGCAGGGGGCTGAGAAGCTTAGGAGGGATTTGGGGACAGATGGAAGTGCCCCCCACCTCTTAAGACCCCTTAGGTCCCAACTCAGGGCCTCATCCTGAGTGGTGACAGCTTCCACTAGCCTGGCTGCCACCAGCCTGGGGGACAAGGACGGGATAGGGAGGCCTTGCAGAGAGTCACAAGGAAGGAGCTCCAGGTCCTTCAGCACCCCCAGCATGAGGAGGCCAAGGGTTTTCAGAATGGGGGTGTGGGGAGCCAGATGTCCCCTGCCCCTGGGGCAGCGTGAGTCATGAGTCTCCCCCACCCCCCACTTCATCCCACTGCAGTAGGGTTAAGGAGGGACTGAGATGTTGAATGTATGAGATGGGCAGGGGGCCACAGAAGTCTCTGGAATGGGAGGAAGGAGGGAAAGATGCCCATGGTTCTGCCCCTTTCTTTCCCCTCTCCCTAGATTCCCCGGGGGAGATACGGCAAGTTGGGTTTCCAGTTAGCCGTCTGGAAAAACACCCTCTGTTGTGGCAGGGAAGGGGCCCTCATCCTGGATGGGTTAGCCCGTGGACTCTCTCCCAGCCCTCCCAGCAGAAAGCTGACAGTCTTGAGGCTGCCTCCACTGAGCCTGGACTGGACATGGGGACCTGTAGACTCTGCCAAGTCCCCTGTGTGGCCAAAGACTGGAGGCTGCACTCCACCAGGAGTTCTTGAAGAGCCTGGTGAAAGCTATGGACCACTGCCCTTTCCCCCCAAAATTACACACACACCATTTGTCATACAATGTCAGGGGACTCAGAACCCCTAGGCTGGGTGACATCATAGTCCCCTCCAGCGCTGCCCTTCTAGGATCCAGAGAAACCTCCTCAGACTCCACCCTAAGTGCTTCCTGCTGCTGCAGACAAATAGACCTCAGTCTCGTGCGTCTGTGATGAAGACAGCCAGGTCTTGGGAGGCCTGGAGGCCTGGCAGGAGAGGAATCTTCTGGGGGTGGGAGCCCTGCCCAGGCCTGGCTGCCCTAGGGGCCCCTGGGGCCGTGCATGCATGTGGTTTCCTGCTGAGTTAAATGCTCAGGGCCCAGGGGCTAATTGGGAGCAGGTGGTGGGTCTGGCAGCCGCTGCTGACTCCGGGCCGGCCGTGATGTTGGCGGAGCAGGGCTGGGGTCCCGATGATGGCCCTGGGGTCAGAGTCACATGACCAGAGCATTAGACACCTGGGGAGGTGCTGAACCAGAGGGTGGGCATGGGTGTGGGCAAGGAGAGCAGGGTCAGGGCTGGCAAGGGATTAAAAACGTCCCCTTAGTGCAGCAGGGCAGGATAGGGTCTGTCCGTTTGTCAAGATAAGCCCTGGAACCGGGTTGGAGGTCTTGTCCCTTGGCCCTGAACACCCCATGGGCCATCAGGGACAGCAGATGTTTCCTCAAAGTAGTTCCCCCGCAGACTCCCTGGCCCTCCATATGCCTGGCTTCTATTCTAAGTGCCTCCTCCTGGCTGAATTCGGGGGAGCAGAGCTGGGCTCTGCAGTCCTGGGTTCGTGGACCCCGACACAGCTTCCCCCCGCCCCCCTTCCCCCAGCTGTCCTCTGACACCAGCCCAGCCCGCCTCGCTGTGTGGCCATGAGAGCGGCCTACCTCTTCCTGCTGTTCCTGCCTGGTAAGTGGCTCCTGGGGCGGGAGGCTCCCATTTTGTGGGTGGGCATGGGGTTTGTGGAGGGAGGGAGCTGGCAGTGAGCCTGTGTTGTGCCCTACAGCCAGAACTCAGCTTCCCGGGTCCCAGAGCCTCCCGGACCACAGACTGGACTGGCCAACCGCCCCAGTGTCTGAGGCCCTCACCCCCAACCCTCCACAGCAGCAGGCAGGCAGGATTCTGGAGAGTGGGCACACGCCCAGGCACCAGGAGTCCATGCTTTTGCTCTTACTGACCCACCTGGGAGCTGACGTGTAGGAGTAGGGGGCACCCAAGGCAGGGAGTCTGGGGGCCTGGGTTCTAGACCCATTTGGGGCCCAACTGCCCTGTACAGTCTTGACCTTGGCGGGGGTCTCTGTTGGTCAAATGAGCAGTTATCAATGGGGATCATAAAACCCTGCCGGGTCTAGCATTCATTCATTTAACAGGTATTTGTTGAGCTCCTACCATGTGCCAGGCTAGGCCCCGGGGGCACAGCCATGAACCAGGCAGACAAATCCCTGCCCTTCTGCTGCTGCCATCCAGCGAAGGGAGGCCGATATTATCAAGTAGATGTGATAAATGTCACATTGTGCTGAGTGCTATGATGGAAATAAACAGGAGGATGCGATGGAGAGGGTGGGTGGGCCAGCAAGGGCCTCTTAGCAGAGCTGAAAGTTCAATCCAGACCTGAATGAGGAGAGCTAACCAGGATCACAGGCCTAGGGAACGTCAAATGCAAAGTCCCTGGGGCGGGCAGGAGCTTGCTGAGTTCCAGGAACAGCCAGGGGCCAACATGGGGAGATGGGCAGGATGAGGTCAGTGAGGTGACAGCCAAGGAGTGTAAGGGCTTTTGTGGCTGAGGAAGGAGTTTGGATTCTGAGAATCTGGTTGTAGGATCTTAGGGTCTTACAGGCCTGCCCTTGGGACCTCTACCTGCCCTCCCCAGAATTGCCTCGGGGCCCCTGCTGGTCTTCTCTGCAGGGCACCCCCTCAGGATTTGCCTCCTCACAGCAGGCCTGCTGGCTCAGGGCCAGTATGATCTGGGCCCGCTGCCTCCGTTCCCGGACCACGTCCAGTACACCCACTACAGCGACCAGATCGGTAAGGGCTTGCCCACCTCAGCTCTCCCCCAGCCCTGCCGCATCAGCGAGGCCTGGCTCCCCAGATGTGTGTGGCTCAGCCAGGGGCCGGGTGGGGTGGGTGCTGGGACTCGCGGAGAGCGGTCGCTGGCTCAGGTGTGGCCTCCGTTGCCCCTGCGGCTGGGGGCAGGCCTGACCCCCCACCAATTCCACATTCATCTTTGTCTTCAGACAACCCGGACTACTATGATTATCAAGGTAAAGGGCTGGGGGCAGGGCAGGATGGGTGGGCAGCTGGTGAGGGAGCCCCTGGGGGGAGGGGAGCGGACCCCCTTATCACCCCTCGTTGCAGAGGTGACTCCTCGGCCCCCCGAGGAGCAGTTACAGCAGGTCCAACAGCAGCAGGTCCAAGAGGAAGTCATCCCAGCCCCCACCTTAGGTAGGCCACCAGCTCCTGTCAACCCGGGGGTGGGGGTCTGTGCGGGGGCAGGGAGAGGTGACCCCACCCTGCCCTGAGTGGACCCCTCCCGGTGACCTCTGCCTGCCCCTCTCCCAACACCAGAACCAGGAGATGCAGAGACGGAGCCCACGGAGCCTGGGCCTCTTGGTAAGGCTTTCCTGACATCTGGAGAAACAGAGGCATGGCCCTGGAAGCCGGGGTAGAGCGGGGTGCAGCGCTGGTGGAACAGAGACTGCTAGGCCTTTTGCTCTTGCTGGGGTAGATGGTGGTGTGGGGGGCTTGTAGACGTGCCCCTGCGTTAGGCTGGCAACTCCAGGGCCCCTTGGGCAGCTCTGGGAGATCCACCTGGCCCCCGGGCCTGGCTGGAGGCTGAGTTGGCTGCAGCCTCGGGAGGGGCCCTCTACTCCCAGACACTGGGGAGGGGCAGGAGCGTGCTGGGGGCTTCCTGCCAGCCAGCGGGACGGGGTGGTGCTCATGGCAAGCCAGGCGAGGAGGGGGCAGGAAGCCCAGGCCGGCTGAGCAGGGGGCCCGTGCTGCCCCAGCCAAGAGCCTGAGAGAGCCAGACTGCATGAGGGACGCTGTCTCCCCTCTGAGCTCAGCGTGTTAGTGTGTGCTCCTGGGAGCGGGTGCGGACCTGCCTGTGAGGTTGGTGTGGACTTTTGTGACCGTGTGTGTGTGGATGTGGATTTGTGTTTGAACTTACGTACGTCAGAATATACATTTCTAGGTGTGGTCATGAATTCGTGTATGTCTACAAATATTGTACAAACTCGGGCAGCCCCGGGAGGTCCCACAGTGCTGTGTGGCATCTGTTGGGCGTGTGTGGGGGGGTGTGTGTATGTGCGTGTGTCTGGGCTGGCCAGGAGGGTGCAGGGGTACCTAGGCCCTGAGAGCCCGTCTCCAGTGGACAAGGTTGGGGGCTGCCCCCCAGCTCTGGGCCCCAAGCTGCAGCCCCTACTCTGATCCTGCCTGTCACCCAGACTGCCGCGAGGAGCAGTACCCGTGCACCCGCCTCTACTCCATACACAAGCCCTGCAAACAGTGTCTCAACGAGGTTTGCTTCTACAGGTGAGGTCTGCTTCTACAGGTGAGGTCTGCTTCTACAGGTGAGCGCAGGTGGCGGGGGGATGGGGGTCACAGCTCCAGCCAGCAAGGTGGGAGCTTGGGGAAAGACAGTGAATCCTGAAGTTGCGCTCAACTCTGGTTAAGCCCAGGCTGGGGACTCTCCCAGTGGGGCAGGGTAAGGGTGAGGCTGACACCTCCCCGGCCCTATCCCCTCAGCCTCCGCCGCGTGTATGTGGTCAACAAGGAGATCTGTGTCCGCACAGTCTGTGCCCACGAGGAGCTGCTCCGAGGTAGGAAGGCCTCCACCCCAGGCTCCCCCTGCCCGGCGGCCAGGCATTATCTGCCCACCCACCTGATATTTATTAAACACGTATTCTGTGCTGGGGCCACTTCCAAGAGATCCGAGCTCCCCTCCTGGCTGCTTTTCACCCTTAGAACATCCTCCTCACCAGGGCTGGGGGGGTGGGGGGGCTAGCAATCCCCACCACCCAGCCCCACCCTGACCCCACTCCTTCCTATCTGCACAATAGCTGACCTGTGTCGGGACAAGTTCTCCAAATGTGGCGTGATGGCCAGCAGCGGCCTGTGCCAGTCTGTGGCGGCCTCCTGTGCTAGGAGCTGCGGGGGCTGCTAGGCTGGAGCTGGCACCTGGAGCCCTGTACCCTGCTTGGATCCGGGGCCCTCGGCCCTGCCTTACCTGGTGCTTCCCCCAGCCCAACATGCCTTTGATTCTGTAAAAAGTTAGTGGACTGCGGCCCTGGGGGTTGTCTCAGGCCCCTCCCCCTGCCCGTGGCCACGCCTGGGGCACAATGGGGGCTCCCCACCACCCAGTCTTCACCCCCCAGACTGGGGGTGTCCCAGGCCTCTCGGTGGGACCTCGGCCTCTGATGTGCCTTCTCAGTCCCTCGGAGGACAGTCCCCCCGGTCCCCCGAGGTAGGCTATGCCCTGACCCCAGCTGGTCTGCTTGGATTTCCTACAGCCCCTCGGGCGTAGACCACCTTTGTTTTATACAAAATTAAAAACAAGTTTTTACAAAAGATTCAGAGTCACTTTTTCAGTTGAGAGCACAGAGAGGGTGGCCGGGTGCCTCCAACACTGCCCGTCCTCACTGAGAGGCTGCCTGGCCCCTTGGGAAGAAGGGTCTGTTCAGGTGACCTGTGGCCTTTCCTCTGTTGTCCCAGCCCTGCCTCCTCCCTCACCGGCTTCAGCTCTGACCTGCTCCAAAAGATGGGCCATGACAGCTGCCCCACTAGGGTGTGCATGTGTGTGTGCGTGTGTGCGTGCGTGCGTGTGTATGTATCGCAGAGAGTTGCATCGGGAATAGAAGGTTCAAGAGTAAAGCTTTCTCGTTGTCAGGGCTGCTTGATGAGGGCACAAGTCCCCCGTCATAAGAGGGGTGCAAGCCAAGATGGGCGGCCGCCCGTGCGGAAGCATAGGGGCGTGTATAGGGTATGAGGCAGGAGGTGAAGGTAGGTGGACTCTGAGATCAAGGGCTTTTTTGGGGGTGGGGGCTGGAGCAGTTCAGAGGGCAGAAACAGGGCAAGCCATTATGATACCTCCCTCTGAGCAGCATGTGGGGACCAGGCTCTGCATGAGGGCTCAGCACACGGTCCTAGTCAACCCTCCAAACAGGCCTGTGTGGTGGGTACAATAAATATCCCCATCTTACCGGCAGGGAAACAGCCCAGAGGCATTAGGTAACCCCCCAAGGTTCCACGGTCAGAAGTGGCAGAGCTAGGGCCGGCCCCGTGGCTTAGCGGTTAAGTGCGTGCGCTCCGATGCAGGCGGCCCGGGTTCGGATCCCGGGCGCGCATAGACGCACTGCTTCTCCGGCCATGCTGAGGCCACGTCCCACATACAGCAACCAGAAGAATGTGCAACTATGACATGCAACTATCGCCTGGGGCTTTAGGGGAAAAATAAATTAAAAAAAAAAAAAAAAGTGGCAGAGCTGGGGCAGCCCTGACTCGGTTGAACTCCATGGGATGAGTGGAAATTCTCCTTGGAAACACTGATTGAACACCTTCCATGTGAGCTTCCTCACAACCACGCTGTGAGGCGGGTTTCATTCTACAGCTGAGCAAAGTGAGGCTCTGAGAGGCTCAGCAGGTTTGCCCCGCGGAGCGAGGACAAGACCCCACGTTCGCTGCCAGGCCTGCCCTTGCTCCCACTGCCTGGAAGGCCTGCCACTGTCCCAGGGGTGGGCCCCGTCCTGAGGTGGGACCAGAGAAAGGGGCAAGAAAGCTTGGCTGGAGAGTCGAGCTGCGCAGGTTGCCCATGTGTTGAGTGCGGTGGGTGATGCGGGACCCGGCGGCCTCCCGCCCCGACATCCTGTGAGGTTGGTAAGTTGCACAGGCCTTTCTAAAGCCTCCCCATCTCCCTGAGCACCCTCACTAGGGGACCCATCCCTCCTGCCCCAGGCCCCTCCTGTCTCCCCTCCTCCAGAGGGAGGAGGCACACGGATAGTAAAGGAACACGTCTGTACAAACTGTTTTTAGAAAATGCGTCTTGTACAAAAAAACACAACAGTTCTAAACAGTTAACATTGTAAAAAGGTATAAAAATATAGGGACTCTGAACTCTCTGAGGAATTCCTGACAAACACTCTGAACTAAGGCGGAGAGGTCTCTGGGAAGCCAGGGGAGGGCCAGGTCTCGGGCCCCTGACTTAGGCCTGGGTACCCTGCCTCCTTCCCATGAGCCCCGGCTCCAGCGCTGGCCAGAGACAAGGGGTCCCCCCCGCCCCTGGCCTCGGCTTGGCCACTCGCAGGGAGGATCCCGTACAGTCTGCAGTGGCTCATCCGGGGCAGGCCGCTAGACTGAGGTGGGCCCACAGGGGGCGGGCGGCTCGTGGTGCTGGGAAGTGCCTCCAGGGTCTGGCCTGGCGCTGGAGTCCTGGCCCCTCAGCACCCCCATCCCGGCTCCTCCTAGCCCCCAGCAGGGCTCTGGAGGCCCCGACGGCCCCAGGCGCTGGGTGGACTGCGCTGGAGAGGAGGCCCTCTGGGGGCTGCTTTCCAGGATGCCAACTGGGAAGGGGCTCATTTCTCGGGGGGGCCGGAGGGCGGGGAGAAGGATGCTGAGCTCCTTCGAAGCTCTTGCTGCAGCTGTCCCTTCAACGTGGACACCTGGAGAAGAAAGAGGAGGTAAGGCCAGCCTGGCTGGCCCAGGCCCCCAGCCTGATTTCAGGGAAAGGGGGTGACTGCAGCTGGGGCCCCAGGAGGGACCCAACGCTGCCTGTTTCAGGAAAAGCTGGTCTCATTAGGAGCCAGGTATTTCCTTCCCTTCTCATTTTGCTCCATGTAGCAGTGGGGAGTCCTCTGACTGCTCAGCAGCTCCTCAGGGGCCACCCCAACCCCACTCTCATCACTTGGATTGTCCCCGTGCTCGCCTGACTCCGGGGGTGGGCCTGTGACCCAGGCCTGGCCTATGAGAGTGGCCTTGCCCTGCAGACATGAAGGGCGGGTCAGGGAGGGGCCTGGGGTCTAAGCTGGCCAGTGAGGATCATCCCTGGGACCCGTGCTGTTGCTCTCTGGGAAAAGGCCCCCCCTCTCCTCTGCGATCACCAGTTGTTGGGACAATCTGAGGCTGGAGTTGCTGAGGCCACCTGTGCCGCCCAGGGAGACGCCTGGGCATGGAGCCAGAGGAGAGCAGAGCCACGGGAGGGGACTGAGTTCCAGTGACGTCACTTGAGCACGTGTCCAGCCATGGTTGATAGCAGCATAGACTCACGGACCATTTCAGTTACAGCTGCCACTGACTGCTTCTACCCAAGAGGTCACCACCAGCCCTCTCCCCCTCCTCCTCCTCACCCCTTCTCCCCCTCCTCCAGCTCCACACTTCCATCCCGGCCCAGCTTCCCAAGGCGGGTCCTGCCGGTTCTGCAGCCCCCTGGCTGGTCCCGGAGCACACCAGCCTGAGTACCTGCTCCTCCAGCCCACGCACCCTCTGCCGGTGGGCCCGCTCCCGCGCCTCCAGCGTGCGCTCCGTCTGCACCTGGGCACTGCGCAGGCGCTCCACTTCCTGCTGCAGCTCCTGCCGTTGCTGCTCATCAGCCTCCAGCCGGGCTGGGCTATGGTCCTGCCCCAGCGTCACCACCTGGGCCTGCAGGAGGGTCCGCCAGTCGGGGGTCTGGTCGTGTGCGTGCGTGCGCGCGCTGGAGGCGGTGTCAGGCACCTCCCCAGGGCAGGAGCCTGCAGGCCCACTGGGGCAAAGCCAGTGCAGGCTAGGGATGCAGAGAGGTCCTTGTTTGTCCCCCACCCCCCTGGCCGTCCTGGTCTTCGAATCCTAGTGACCCCCCGTCAAACAGGCGCAGACACACACAGACGTATTCAAACATAGAGACAGGCCCATACATACAGGCACAAAAGCAAGCAGGTAATACTTAACCTGTGTCCACGTGGACACACGCATATGTGCAGAAGCCTGACACTCCTACATACCTCTACATACATGAAGATGTGTACACAAAGACACGCACACACACACGTAACATATTCCTGATACTCAGACTCGTCACATCTGTACACAAGAGTCATGCTATGTGCACACAAATACTCTCACGTACACACACCTCTACATGCCCACATCCATGAAGACACAGCCTATGTGCTAACCGGCCTGTAGCATCTCTTTTCTCTCCACTTGGGGAAGGCCCCCCCCGGGACCTGGCTCTGGGTCGCCCCCTCCAAGGGTCTGGGCTCATGGGTTGTGGGGGTTGAGGGCCCTCGGCTGGCTGAGCCATCAGCAACTCCTGAGACTGCCTGGGACTCAGGGTGGGGCTGGGTCCGGGGCTGGGTGGGCAGGGGCTGGACCTCCAGCAGCTGGATCTGCCTCTGGGCCTCGGCCAGCTGCAGCTCAGCCCCTGTGAGGGTGCGGTCCAGGCGACCCTTCTCCGCACTCAGCCGCACTGTGTCCTCGTGGTTGCGAAGCTTCTCCCGCTCCACCTGGGAGGGGAGAGCAGGAGGGGATCAGGGGCCTCAGGGAAGGCGGAGGGGCTCAGAGAGGGGTGTTAGGTTAGAGGCAGCAGGACCAGGGGGCACCTGAGGCCCCCAGACCCTAGAGACAGGCAGCTGGGACCAACCATGGCTGGGACCCAGGGGAAGTGAGGGGAGGGCCGGGGGCGCAGCCCACCTTGTCCAGCGTCTTCTTGAGGGCCACCCTGTCCTTCTCCAGCCGCAAGGCTGACCGCTCTGCCTCCCGCTTCTCGGCCTCCAGCTGAGCCAGGGCCCGCTGCAGGCTGCCCAGGCGCTCCTGCAGCAGCCGCCGCTCGTCCTGCAGCTTCTGGACCGTGTGCAGCGTCACAGCCTCATTCTCTTGTCGTTGCCGCAGCACCTGCAGCGGAAACCAGCAGGTCCCTCATGCCTCTGGGCCTCAGCGTGTGCACCTGAAGCTTCGGGATGGTGATGCCAGCCTGCCGTGCCTGCTCACTCAGCAGGACAATTGTGAGGCCCACATCAGGGAACTGTCACCTGAGACCAGACAGGTCTCCTCTCTGGGCCTCAGTTTCTCCATCCGTATAATGGGGATATGGACTCAATGAACCATGCTTCATTTCTGGGCTTGTGGGTGCCTCCTCACAGGAGGCTGGGCCTGGGTTTGGGATAAGCGGGAAGGTAGGAGATAGGTGGGAAGGTCCTCATCCCGTCCCAAGGGCCTCAGAGTCCTGGGGATGGAAGGGGCCCACCCTGGCCCTCACCTCCTGCAGCTGTTGCAGCCGCCCCTCGGCCTCCGCCCGCTGCAGCTCCAGGTCCGCCAGCTCGCCCCCCATCGTCTGCACCTGCTCGCCCAGGGAGACGCTCTGCTTCCGCGCCTCGGATAATGCCTGCCGAGCGGCCTCCAGCCGTTCCTGGGAGACAGGGGCTGATGGTGCCAGGCCGGCCTGCGAGCCCTGAGGCAAAGGGCTCCCCTCTACTCTGTACCTCTGGGCCAGGCTCACAGCCCAGAAAACACGGGGCCATCTCACCTGGAGGGTGAGCCACAGCAGGCCCAGCCCACAGCCTATCCCCCGACCTGCACAGGCGGGGACCCCTCAGACCCCAACTCTCCGGCATTAACCCTGCACCTGGGTCCCTCTAAGCCTGTACTGGTTGGCTTGTTGTCTTCTTGGGTCCACCTCCCCCAGAGCCTCCTCTCATTGGCTGATGCTGTTTCTGGGTGCACCCCTCCCTCAAAGCTGGCTCTCACTGACTGGCTCCTGAGGGTTCCCATCTGACTGCCCCGCTGGCTGGCTCTCTACCGGGGGCCCTCCAAGCCTGCCCTTATTGGCTAACTCGCTCACCGGGCCCACCCCCAGCCAGGACCTGGAGTCCCCCCACACCTGGAGCACTTGGCGGTCATGTTCACAGGCGGTCAGGGCCTTCTGCAGGCGCAGGCTCTTGTCCTGGGCGCTGGTGAGGCTGGCGCTGTTCTGGGCCAGGGCCTCCGTCAGGCCTTGTACCTTGTCCCGCAGGGCCCCCTCGCTCTCCTCCACCTTGGCCAGGGCCCCGTTCAGCCGATCCACTGTCAGCTGCAGAGTCCCTGCCTTCACCTCACTGTCTGCCACCTGCCAGGAGGACAGACAGTGGCTGGTCAAGTGGCTCTGCTCTCGCTGTGGCCTCCAGCAGGGAGGTCCAACCCAAGCCAAGCCAAGCCCTTCCTCTCTCTAGGCCTTCATCACTGATACCATTGTTCCCATGTGCTCCCACTGGCTCAGCCTACTGCTCAGCAGTCTAGGCCCTGTCCCACTGCTGGCTAACTATCCTCACCCAGAGCACCATCAACCTAGTTGTTTCATACCCATGGTCTCCTCCCTGTTCTCATTCCCCTCTCCTTGCTGCTATAGAGAAGAAACGGTAACCACCATAACCCCGAAATTTTCTGCGTCCTTGACTTTGGTAGGTGACCACGCACGGCTAGAAGAGTTACTGAACATTCCAGTTGAAGCTGAGCTTCCTGGCAGCCAAGGCAAAAAGGGAAATGAGTGAAATCTACATCTCTAACTTGTCCCACATGATTCCCTTGAGTGCAGATTCTGTTGTCAAACGTTCCTAAATTCTAATGTTGGCTCTGCCTCTTATTAGCTATGTGATCTTGGGTGATGACATCACCTCTCTGAGCCTCCATTTGTCCATCCACGAAATGGGGATGATAATAAGACTTGCCTCACAGGGCTGTTGGGAGGATTACGTGGTCCCCATAAAGCATTTGGCACTAGGCATGCAGATGAGGAGCCTGCAAGTGGCGGAAGGACCCACCTGTCTCTGCAGGGAGTCCACCCGGTCCTGGAGGGCCTGGGCCTGGGCCTCACGGTCGCTCAGGCCCAGGCGGCTGCGCTGCAGCTCCCCCTCGAGCGAGCGCCGCTGCAGCTCGAGCTTGATGGTGCGGCTCTCGGAGGCATCCAGCACCTCCTTCAGGCGCCGCTTGTCGCTCTCCAGCTTTACCTCGTTGGCCTTCATCTTGTTGATCTTCTCCTGTGTGTGGGTGAGGGCTCAGGCCCTAGCTGTCCAGCCCACCCCAGCCCTCCCACATCCCCCCGGACTCTTGGGAGAAAGTAGGGGCAGCCTTGGAATGGCTGGTGCAACCGCTCCCCGTGTGACCGGGGCTGGCCATGACCCTCTTGGCGGCTCAGTCTCCCCATGTGCCCAGGATGGAACAGAAGGTCCCAGAGCACCTCCAGTTCTGGCTGAGTCTAACAAGCTGTGTGTCCAGGGTTATCCTTCCTACTCCCTGGCCCTACTCCACATCTGTACAGTGGGGGGACTGGACTGGTACCAGAACCTCGGGTTCACAGAGCTCTGGGGAGGGGAGGGGACTGTAAAAATGCAGGTTCCAGGGCTTCCCGTGCTCTGCTGCATCCCTCCAGATGCAGGCCCAGAAGCTGCATGTGGGACCTGAGCAGTCGGGCAGGAGCCCTGGGCCCTACTAGATGTTAAGGGACGATGCTCCTCAGGCCCCCACACAGGCAGTGAAGGAGCCTTGTGGAGTGGGGAGAGGACAGGAAGACAGCCTGGGGTCCTTCCATTCCTGTTACCATCCTGGCAACGGGGCGGGTCAAGGGGGTGTTCTTACAACACCCCCCAGGCCTGGCCCTCTCCTGCCTGCTCAGAGCCCCAACCCTGCCATGTCTGGGCCCGGCAGCCCCACTCTGGCTCCTGCCCAGCTTTGTCCTGGGCCTCCTCCCGCGGCCCCTGTGGCTGGGCCCAAGGCCAGAGCCGGGGCCGCAGACACAACAACCCAGCTCAGCTCGGCCCGGAGCCAGAGGCAGGGGGTGGGCTGTGGGGGCAGTAACGGAGGGCCAGGAGGGGAGGCGGAGAGGGAGGGAGGGGAGCTGAGAGAAGGGCTTAAGGCTTTGGCAACCCGGACTGTCACCACCAGGGCCTGTCCTTCCTGTCCCAGACACACACACACACAGGCGTACACAGATGTCCCCCAAACACACAAGCCCCAGAATACCACCATGTGGCTCCACAGAGACGAAGGAAACAGAGGGGGCCTGAGCATCACCTCCATGATAAGAGCATAGGTGCAGCTGGGAGGCAGTTATCGGGCCTCCGCTTTTACAGATGAGGAAAATGGAACGAGGCCGGCCCATTAGCAGCAGGGCCCGGACTTGAACCCAGGCCTGTCAGGCTCAAAAGCCCAGGTTCTTTCTTCTGCAGCCTCGTGACCTCAACGAAGAATAAGATAGAAGCTGAATGTGCTTTTGGAGAAAGAGCCACAGGCTGGTCACCTCAGTGGGTGCTGAGACCCAGGCAGACAGAAACAGAGACGCACACAGCAGGACTTACAGATACCCATTCAGGCCCAGATTCCCCCTCGCCCCTGCCGGCCCTCAGCGCCTGCCTACCTGGCTGGCCCGGAGCTCACTCTCGGTGGCCTGCAGGCTCCTCTCCAGGGTGGCCACCTGGTCCAGCGCGGCCCGGCGCTCCCGCTCGCTGCGCCGCACGCTCTCCTCCTGCAGTGCCAGCTCCGCCTGGACCCCGCTCAGCCGCCCATCCACACTGCGCCGGGCTGCGGGCCCCACCCAGCCCCGTCAGGCCCGGCCAGGCACAGCCCCGAGACCCGAACCAGGCCACAAGAAGCCCGGCCCGCCCGCCACCCACCACAGGGCCGGCCTCTCCGAGCCCTTGAGGGTCTGCAGTCTGGACATGGGGTGGGGCTGACCAGGGAGGGCTCCCCAGAGGAGACAGCCCCCAACTCAGGTCATGGTGGCCAGGGCAGGGATGCAGGAGCTACTCAGGGCCATCCGCCAGCCTCCCACCTCAGCTGCTGAGAGCACAAGACAGCAAAGCAGGGACCCAGGGGTCAGACTCACCTTCCTCACTCTCGGCCACAGCCTTCTGCAGCTGCCGTGCCCGTGAGGCTGCACCGTCCCTCTCAGCCTCCAAGTCCACCAGCTGGCGACTCAGGGCACTCATCTGGGCCCGAAGCTCGTCCTGCAGCCCCGAAGTGGGGGGAAAGGGAAGACGCCTGCTCTGACAACCTGCAGCCCCTCACAGGGCCCTCGGCCACCTGGTTCCCTATCCAGCCACTCACACCCAGCCTCACCCGTTCTCTCTGGGCGCTCCGCAGCTCCTGCAGGAATTCCCGGAGGGCCCCCCGCACCGCCTCCGGGTCCAGGTCTGGAGACGCCGGAGAGGTGGCAGGTCCTGGGGATGGTGGCTCGGACCCAGGGCTGCATTCCAAGGGGCTGGGGCTGCTGAGCCCTTCCCCACTTCCTGGAGGAGGAGATGTGTTCAGGGGTGCAGGAGCTACTGGCCTCTCCTGCCTGGATGCTGCCTGCAGGCTCCTAATGCAGCTCACACATCCTGCTGTAACCAGCAACCCATGTGAGCTTCCCACAGCACAAACAGGGTCCCCTCAACCTCTTGTTTAACCCCCTACAGCCCTCAGAATCACGCTCTCATCCTTTACAAACTGGCCACTCCACATCACCCTCAGCTCCCATGTTCTAGAACATTCCCTCTTCCAGCACTAGGGCCTTCGTACATGCTGTTCCCTTCTCTCCCCATGGCTACTCTTTGCCTGGCTCATTCCTTTAGGCCTAAATGTAAAGATCACTCCCCAGAGGCCTCCCTGACCCCCAGCTGGGCTGGGGGGAGCTCATCCCACCCTCATGGGGCCCCGATGTCTGCCTCCCTGCCCAGAACACGAGCACCATGAGGGCTGTGTCCCCAGGACCCAGTCCAAGGGGAACACTCCATCACCTCAACATCTCCCTGGCCTGAGCACTTACTACGTACCTAGCACCGGGCCAATGCTTTCCCATCACCTCATTTCATCCTCACAGTAATTCCCTGAGAGGTAAGGACCAATGTGCCCCCTACACAGGCTGGGCGGGCTCAAAGCAGTGAACCGATTTGCTTGGTCTCAAAGCTGGGAAAATCAGGATCCGGGATTTGAACCCAGGCAGCCCGATTTCCCAGCAGAAAACCTCCAGCCCTTCTTGGGAGATGATGGGCTACAAAGAGGTGGGAGGGGGCAGGGCGGGCAGAGACAGGACGGCACCTGGAGGTCAACATCAGGACTGCAGGAACGGGGGTCAGCCTGTGGGCAACCTCCTGCCTCTGCCAAGTGAGACCCAAGCTGCCCTACAGCTCCGCCAGCACCCAAAGGACCCAGACCAGGACGTCCACCCACTGCCCGCGGGCCTCCATCCTCTCATAGTGGCCAGCAAGGACTACGTGAGCAGGTCTTCTGTCCCACGTCCCCACCTCCACTCCTCTCTACCTTGCTCGCTCTGCTCTGCTGCTGTCGCCCGTGCTGCTCCCAGGAGAGGTACCTCCATCTTTCCACTTGGCCTCCGAGTCTCTCCTCCATTCTTCCCTACCCACCACCTCCTCAGTGCCGCTCTCGCTGTCTCCACACAAACACCCCTAGCCCCCCCATTGCCTGACCTCTAAAAAGTTTTTTAGGATAAAATATATATAACAAAATATGTCTATCTATCTTTGCACAATTTAGTGTCATTAATTATATTCACACTTACGTGAACATCACCACTATCTGTTTCTGAATCTCTTCCATCACCCCCATTATGGGTTGAATTGTGTCTCCTCAACATTCATATGTAGACGTCCTAATGGCTGGTACCTCAGAGTGTCCCCTTATTTGGAAATAGGATCCTCGCAGATGTCATTAGTTAAGATGAGGCCACACGGGAGGAGGGTGGGCTCTAGTCCAATTTGATCGGTGTGCTTATAAAAAGGGGAAATTCGGACACACACTCAAGGAGAACACCACGTGAAGATGGCAGGCATGCTGCCATAAGCCAAGGAACCACCAGAAGCTGAGAGAGGGGCTGAAACAGATCCTTCCCAAGCACCTTCAGAGGGAGCGTGGCCCTGCCGACACCTTTCCTCGGACTTTGGCCTCCAGAACTGTGAGACATTAAGTTTTTGCTGTTTCAGCCACTCAGTTTGTGGTACTTGTTAGGGCAGCCCTAGGGGCTAATACAATCCCAAACAGAAACTCTGTAACCTTAAATTAAGCAGTAACTCCCAATTCTTCCCTGGTAACCTCTAATCTCTGTCTCTACAAATTTGCCTATTGTAGATATTTCATTTAAGTGGAATCATACTGTATTCGTCCTTTTGTGACGGGCTTATTTCGCTTAGCAGAATGTTGTCAAAGTTCATGTTGTAGCATGTGCCAGAATGTCATTCGCTTTTAAGGCTGAATAATACTCCATGGTATGGAGGGACCACATTCTGTCTATCCATTCATCTGTCCATGGACACTTGGGCTGCTTCCACCTCTTGGCTACTATGAATAATGCTGCGATGCACATGGGTGTACAAACATCTGTCTGAGTCCCTGTTTTCAATTCTTTCAGGTATACACCTAGGGGTGGAACTGTTGGGTCATATGGTAATTCTTTTTTTTTTTTTTTCTTGTGAGGGAGATCAGCCCTGAGCTAACATCCATGCTAATCCTCCTCTTTTTGCTGAGGAAGACCGGCTCTGAGCTAACATCTATGGCCCATCCTCCTCCTTTTTTCCCCCCAAAGCCCCAGCAGATAGTTGTATATCATAGTTGCACATCCTTCTAGCTGCTGCATGTGGGACGCGGCCTCGGCATGGCCGGACAAGCGGTGCGTCGGTGCGCGCCCGGGATCTGAACCCGGGCCGCCAGCAGCGGAGCGCGTGCACCCAACCGCTAAGCCACAGGACCGACCCCCATATGGTAATTCTAAGTTTAGCTTTTTGAGGAACCAACACACTATTTTCCACAGCAGCTGCACCACTTCACATTCTCACCAGCGATGTCCCTTGACTTATTCTTCCTTACCTATTTTCCACCCAGTAGCTTCTATATTTCCTTTATACGGCAGCTTTATCATCTGCTACTCCCCTGCCTGGACCAGAGCTCCAGAAGAGCACACATGCTGGTGCTTCTGTGCACTGCTCCATCCCCAGGGCCTAAACTGTACGTGGCAGATAGTAGGTGCTTAACAGAGTCACTGAACGAACTGTGATCCTGGGGCTAAACCCGTGGATCTGCAGAGGCAACGACTCAATACCCCCTAGTGAACTTCCCACAGCTCTAAGACTCCACAGGTTCTGTTCTAGCCCCGAGTAATCAGGGTGCGACTGCGGTCAGGCTGAGACAAGCGAAGGCTCCCCAAGGCCGCTGGCACCCCTGAAGCACAGCGCTGACTTTCCCAGGGTCCTCCACTGTGCCTTGGGAGCATCTCTTCTGAAGGGGTTTCTGGAAGGGGTCGGGCGGGTGTGTATCTGTCTAGGGGAGACACCGGGGTCACAGGCCTGGTACGGAGGGGTGTGGAGTAGGGACGGGAAAATGAAGAGGATAGGGTGCTGATGCAGAGAGGACAGGGGTCTATTACCGAGGCTCCAAGACTCGGAAGAGTTAGCGACATTAACAAGCAGCACCCTCGACCCGCTTTAAAAAGAAGCGGTCTCGGGAGCGCGCTGATCACCGACAGGGAGGAGCCTCGGTGAGGGGGCGGGGCGAGACGGGCCCCCAAGAGGGCGTGGCCCAGTGCTGTGGGGACGTGGCCCGGGGGCGGGTCTCTGCAGGAGGCGGGGACTGGCTGAAGGGGCGGGGTTTGAGACCAGTCCTCACGGGAGGGGCGGGCTCTAA